GTCGAAAATGGCTTTCTGCACGGCGTTCGGTGTATATCTATTCTCAACTCTGACGAGAGAAAACTTATGATAAACTTAAGCTAGTATCGAGGACTGTGTGTGTAGTAAGGACCAGTCCAAGTTTACTAGACTTGAATTTTTCTGTAACTAAAAGACCGACCGGCAACAGAATTCAGGTGCAACTATATAAGTGTCATTTTAGAATGTTCGCTGGCTTTACTTTTTCTGTTATTGTAGAAATGTCACACACAGCAGTACTTGGATCCACTTCATCAATTTGAACTAATAAAAATTGATGTCCCGAAAAATGTGTTTAGAATCTAATCAAGTGTAATTCAGAAAAAATATTGAGAAAACATATACTGTTTTCAACAGCACAGTGATGTTACCAGTGTTTCTAATGAGAATTGTAATCAAAATGGATTGAACCACTTTGCTCTGAAGCCTAAAGTGGCAGTAACCACTTTGTGCTAAACTGCAAAATGGTCTCGAATAAAGTATCAGCAAGCAGCGTTTATAAAACTGTTTCCTGCTTGGGTTCTAAAACATGGACCTTTCCAGTGTTTCTAATGAGAATTTTCAGCAGAGCGTACACAAACGTGGTAATTAATAAGATCAATCATGATGGCAAAACTAGAGAAGAAAACAAAGTGGAAATTTTAGAAAGCAAAGTGGTTCGCAACGTGGTTTTTTTTACGTTCAAAGTGGAAAACAGAGTGGATTTCATTTTTACAAAGTGGAAGACCACTTTGCTCTCACGGGGACCACTAATCATTAGAAACACTGCTTCGAAAATCTCCGTTTTCTTTGAGCGTTTTTTCTTTACAGTTTTCAGCTGTAGCTAACTGATTCGATTGATTTTAACTGATTGTTAAAATATCCTTTTCAAAGATAGGTAGGTTAGATTCTTAAATCAACTCAGTTTTAAAAATCTTGTGATTTAACAGAAATTTGTGAGAAATATTGCAAAAAGAAGTCGAAAAAAATTTGAACTGAAATACTAAACTTAAACTGAATAGATTCAGTTTACTCTATTATGATTAATTTCTTCTGTTCTATGAAGAAGAAAAAAACATCAATCATCAATAAATACATGTATTTCGTATTTAATTGTTACAACTTCCTATTGGATTATTTAATTCCTTTCTTATACATAATATTGATCAAAAAACAACAATATAGTACTCTCTATAGATCATTTATATCTATCTATCTTTTTGACTATTTGATTTGTTTCATAATTTAGTCATCAGGTATCTTGAAATCTCAAGAGATTATTAATAATAATTTATCAATGAACTGAACCTTTTTTTGTGTTAAAATAGAAATTAACACCGCCTTGTTTATTGCTGATAGAGCTATACAGATATAGCTATTACATGTATATGAATGTGTTTTGTCAATATAGACACTGATAGAATGTAGATGTGTGTGTGAGTGAGTATTCAAACACAAGATATAAAATAAAATAAAGAATAATAATAAGAAAAGTTAGGCATTAATTTGATGTTATATACGAATACAGTAAAACTGAGTAAGCTGTTAGATCGCTTTAGAGCTTATCCTCGTTTTTGCTACTTATATTTATTGATAAATTAATAACATAGATTTGCATTGCTAATGTAGAGTAAGAAAGAACAAAGTAATGTTTGTCGCGAGAATGCAACATATAATCATTCTAAAACTCTTTGTTCTTCTATTTGGACTGGATCTTTCTAAACTGAAAATTACAAAATCAAAAGATTATAAGACAGTGTTGATTTAATTAGGAAGCTACGCCCAGTTCAGTAATCTTAGATTTAGCAAAGGTTGAATAGGTCACTCGAAGACTTTTCAATCCTTGTATTTGGAAAAAGGTAGCGATATTTAACAATGTACAAGCTTCTTGTTTGACAAATAGTTTTACTAGTCATTTGTTCATAAATTGTCTCCATTGTTTTTGAAATTCACCTTCTCGCTAGTGTTTACATGTTATTATTTTAATATAACTATCTGTTAACGATATTTTTTCACAATAACTACATATTTTTGTAAACATTTTGCATCAGATATCGTCACACACACTGTAAAAAAAACATAGAGAGAAGTATTGTAGAACAAAAGATAACTAACAACAACGCTGTAGAATCAATCGTCCTAATTTGATCACATCTTTTTTTATGCCTAGTATTTTGTAAGTTTAAAAGTCATTTCTTAATATTTTAAGTAAATGTTTAGTTTACATTAACTGAAGAAGAACGATATATACTAACTTCTTTCCTTTCCTCTCACTTCTAAATTGGATTACAACACGCATTTTTTTCCCTAATTCAATAGCGTCCACGCAAATGTATGAAATTTAAGGGATCTTTTACAAGCAAACATATTCATATTATTCGAAGTATAAAATCAACTAATATTCGTGGAATAACATATGTTCACAAAAGTCAGAAATATTGACGGTGAAAAACGGGATTCGAAAGTAGCTCTACAAAATCTCGGTTTTTCGGCTGAAAACTACATCGGTACGTTCTTTTTCTACGATTATATATCAGGTTATATCTCGGAAGACTTTTTTTGTACATACATCGAGAGATCAAAATCTGCTCCACTCGAAAAACTAAACTTATTTACTTAAAACGTTAAATGGCTTTTAAACTTACAGAATACTAGACATAAGAAAAGATGTGATCAAATTAGGGTGCTTGACTGTATGTGCTGTAATTGTAACTCCCATTATTATTAAATGCTGCAAAATATGATCAACACATTGACGAAGAGCGTAATATAGTATCAATCTTGATTCGTCGTTCATTTGTACATATATTTTAAAACGACCTTACTTGAAAAAAAAATAAGAGATAAAAAGAATATGTATTCGTACAGATTGATATAGATATTGATTGAGTGCGATGTATATATATTTGACAAATATGTTGATAACGATATATCACAATGTTGTCTCAGTTATTGTCAGAACAAACCTTCAGCAATAAATATATAAAATTTTTTTCAATCGAGACCTATTTTTGTTTCCACAAATTTTAAACATATTCATAGATATTACTTATCGTATCCAATTCGAACAAATTCATTTCAACGATTATTTACTCCTATTGTTAAATTAGTTACATTTTAATGCAATGAACACTTTTACTGTAATTATCTTATTATACTATAACTATAAAAGTAATTCGTTAGAATTAAATTGCATAGTGTGTGAACTGTGTGTTTTATCTTACTTTTTTCCTCATTCGATATTTGAATTTCACTCAGGTATGTAACTATTGAAATAAGTTGCAAATTTAATTTCAAAAAACTAAAGTAATATACTTTATAAAGCGGATTTAAAAATAGAGCAGATTATGAGATGCTATAATCGTGTTGAAGCTTCTCATTTATGTTTCTTTTGAATGTCAATACGAAGTTACATTTTTTTGTTTTCTCTCTACTTAGTCAATCTATTTAATTAATTAATTAATCTCCAACCTATTTTGTAAAGCGTTACTTTTGGTACATATTCGAGGATTTCTTTTTTATACTTTCTCTATATTTGAGAAACCATATTTATGTCTCTCTTTCTCCTTCTCTCTCTCGCTCTCCCGCTCTCTGACTATATTTTGTGAAACAAAACAGAACCTTGTACATTATTTTCTTTTTTTATTGTATGGTGTTACTATAATATATGTAGACGTGAACAAAGAACGACAAAACATTAAATGCCTTGAATCTTTGTTACACACAGAACGTAAAGTATCAGTTGGAACATTGTCTTATAAATGGCAAAGAAACTTTCAGTTTTTTTTTTATATTGTTCTTGTGGAAGCTTCAAAATCATATTTTGAACGATCTTCTTTTCAGTTGATGTCCAAAGAATAAGACAAAAAAAAAATTATATCCGTTTTTATTTTTTTTTTACTTTAATGTACTATGGTTGAAAGAATACTCTTCGTTATATTGCTTATGGGAAAAGAGAGCGAACAACAATAACAACAACAGCGAAAAAAACTTATGTGACATTAAGCAAAATTTTTGATTTTCTTTTCTTTTTTTTGCTTTTATTTTCATTTATTTTTTTTTTTATTTGTTGAGTGTACAATTCATTGAATGGTGTAATAAATCTGTATTTTTTTTTTGTTGCATGTGTATGTGTGTTAGTACACTTGTGCGATAGACACACTCTCTCTCTCTCTCTCTTTCTGTCATAATGATTGAATTTGATATACTCTACTTTTTTTCTTCGTTCGATCCTTTTCATACCAGCAAGAGAATTGCTTATCGTGGCGTTGTTGTCGTCCTTAAACGGTGCCATTTCCGGTGTTTGTTCTTTCTGTTCCATTAAACACTTTTCGAATACATACATACATACATACACATACAGAAGCCATCATTATCATTGTATAAACAAGAATTTACTAAATGATTTATATGTATAAGAGTTCAGGTGCATATAAAGCAAAATAACCGATCGACTAAAGAGATAAATCTTTTTTTTTCTTTTATTTATTTTTTGTTCTTAATGTTCGTAACGCTTTGATATCTTAAGAAACAATAGTCACTAGAATTTTTTTCAAAAATAACATATTTCTCTACCTGGACGGTAACTACCTGAACAAATGTTTATTGTATAACCTAAAGAAAAGAAAGACGAGGGTAATCCATTTTTATTTTTTTATTTTTTCCGAAATAACTAGTTAAACTTAACGTATTATTGGTTTTTTGATAAACTAACTTATTAATTATTTATTAACAAATATATGTTGTTTCTTTTCCCACTTTAGATTTATTTGCAATTACCAAAAGTCTTCCTTGACATATTTATTTAATCAATGTTGGTATTGTCGAATTTTTATTAACCGAATATATATGAATACATATATATATATATATAAATAGAATAAAAAAAAATTTTTTTTTATAAAAGCACTTCTGGACGACATGAAACGACGTTTTTTATTATTCGGCAACAAAAACAATAATAAATGTAACAAATACAGACTAGAATCAAATGCAGCAGCGTAATGACAGTAAGTAAGTGATTTAGATTTTTTTCCTTGTTAATTTTCATACTTTTTTACTTTATACATAATGTAATATTCGACTTCTAGATGATATTATTGTAGTAGCAAAATTTGATTATCGTGCTCAAGAACAACGTGAATTAACAATAAAAAAACATGAACGATTATTATTATTAGATGATTCGACTCAATGGTGGAAAGTTAAACGAGTTGAATCTGAAGAAAATGGGTAAGTTAAACAGAGAGAAAAAAAAATTTAGATTTTCTTTTTTTTTTCTAGAGTTTTCTGTTGTGTAATGAGATCTTATTTGAAACAGATGTCATACAACATAGACAAGAAGTTTTTCCTCTGTAGTTAGCAGAGCTCCGTATGGACTGAACTGAAAATTTTTGAGTTCATGGACTCGGACTCAAACTTTCAAGACCATGGACTGGTCTGGATTCGAAAAAAAGTTTTGGATTCATTTGAATCGAGGAAAAATCAGTAAAAAACATGTTGTTTTTGTATTGTGGACTGGACTACTTTTTTTAGAGTCCATGAACTAAGACTGTTTTTCTTAGACTCAGACTGAACTGAACTCAGAATTTTGAGTCCATACGAAACTCTGGTAGTTAGTTATATATTTGTATAGATTGTGTTAATCTTTATGTGGGGTTCGATAAAACTCTAATTTTATTATTGATATTATTATTACTATTATTATTATTATTATATCTATAATTTGATGATTCATCGGCTTTTTTTGGCTTTGTTAATAGTATAGATAAACATTTTTGTTGAAAGTGACCGCCTATGTCAACAAAAACAAAAAGAAAAACATAGCAAGATAGAACAATCGATAATTGATTAATAAAAGATTAATCTACATTTTTTAGATTGAAACGTTATTATTATGCATTTATCCATAAACTTCTTGAATGAAATTAGATAAGAGTTTTAAATTTATTCTCTTTTTTTCTATATTGCTTAGTAAATGTTGTTTAATATTGAGACTGTATCGATCCAGTTGCTTATTATTAACAATCAAAAATAAATTGTTTTACTCTTGCTGTGAATCTAATTGAACCACGAGACATAGTCAATATTATTTCTAGTAAATCATTATAGTGTATGGTCTAGTTTAAGAATAAAAGAAAAGTGATCGTATGTAGAGAAATAATAATAATGAAAAAAAGTAGTTGATATATCCTGTAGTTCAATAATATTATAGAATGACATTCTCTTGTGGTTGTTTAATATTTGAAATGTTTTTTAATCTACCACAAATGAGGAATCTTTAGACAGTGGAGAACACATACACACTATTTAATGACATTTTGTTTTATCTTTTAAAGAATAGATAAGATTTGAAGAAGAACAAAAGATGATGTAGCTTTTTTGTTCTCTTGAGATGTGGTCAAAAGTTGATGATGACTCATCTATCAGTTTACTTCATTAAATTCTGTTAAGAATCTTCTATTTAATCAAATTTAACATGCAATGAAGACGGTTGACTCAAGATCGGTTTAACAAACATACATTAATATGATCAAATTACCAATGGATAACCTTGATCATGAAAAAAGTCTTTTTTTTTTTTGTTAGTATCACATTTTTTTCTCTTTTTGTTCGACAAAATATGTTATACTTTGTCCAGAAAAAAATTTGGGTCTATATACATTTGCGTGTGTCTATGTTTGACTAATATTACTAATTTGATTTTGTTGTCATTTTTTTTCTTCTTATAATAGACAACAAAAAAAAGGGAAGAGAAACTCTATTAGAATGGAAGCTTTTTTTTTTTTTTTGTTAAAACATGAATAATTGATACTAACTCTTCATATTGATAAAGAAGAACTTCTCTATAAATGAGATAATACGCTATTTGATGATAGTTAGTTAAATATACTTTGACAGATAATGTCGGATAATAATAACAACAAACAATAACAATGATAAACTTGAAAATCAGCACCGTCACACATTTATGCGTCTTTGAATTATTGTGTCAATATGATTAGTATCATTCAGAAAAAGAAATGAAAGCAAATATAAGTAGTTCAAGATGAGATTCTGTAATTAAAACTATTTTGTTTTATTTTTTATTTTTTGTTTTTAACCTTATTCATAACCCTGTTTATTAAGAAAAGATACAACAAACTTGACTTAGCGAGCAGACCAAGGTCTATGGTGCAGAGTCAACTAAACAATCTAACGAAGAACTAAGCAATCTAACGGCGAACTAAAATTAAAACTATATACGATGAATAATTCCCATTTGTGAAAGTTGATTTATTTTTCAGTTCATGTGCAACGATCAAATTCATGTATTGGGATCCTAGCTTCGTGCACGAATTGATTTTGTGTTTTGATAGTTTAAGTTTTATAATGATGTAATGAAAATTTGTATTTTCCAGTTCGTTCTGATTCAAGATTAGAGCTTAAACTAAAAAATTTCAAAAGCGCTATACTATAGCCGAAAGTAAAACGCTTTTGTATGAAGATTCTGTGATCAATGTAGCTTCAATATTGATTTATATCTATGGTTTTACTGTATCTCAATTTTGATAGCGTCACTAGAACTTATATATTGTACGATTTGCATTTATTGGAGAACAGAACTACTTTATAACTGAAAAGAGAACGGATAATACTGTGTGAAGAGCGGTTTCTTCTTAAATCTTTTAACCAAAACAGGGATCGAGTATAAACCGCGGTAAGTAGAGTAAAGTTAGACCTGGATCTACATCACATGTTGAATACAATATATCCTTGCAATGAATTTCATCATCTTTCAACACAATGCAAGTATAATTATGTAGTATACAATACAGATACAGTCAGTTCTCTTTTCAACAAATAATAAAATATGTTTGTTTCTTCAATAAATTAATAAATCGTTCTCATACAATGAAAAACTATTTTCTATAGATTCTTATGTATGAGTATGAATAAATTTCAGTTTTATATTTTAGTTATATCCCGTCCAATTATGCTCGTCGTGAAAAACGTTCTCTATTAGATAAAATTATTTCAAAACGATCAAAAAAACCGTTTGTACATGGAAATATTCATCAATTACCTAACAACACTGTTCTTCTGTCTGATCGAGTATTGTCTGTTGCTCAAGTAAAGTTTAATTATAATGCTGGAAGGTAACAAAAGTTCAACTAAATCATTTACAATTAATATTTATAGTTGTTTTTATTTCTAGTGAGGATGAAATTAGCTTATCAAAAGGTCTACGGGTAAATGTTTTGCAAAAGAAAACCGATGGTTGGTGGTTTATTCAATATAATCAACAGCGAGGATGGTATCCGTCAACATATCTAATAGAAACGTCTACAGATAACTGTAACGGTTTATCGTTATTAAATCAAATTCAACAATCATCAAATTTAGCAACTATAAATTCACCATCATCTTCATCAACCGGTTTATCTAGTTCAAGTAGTGCTAATTCGAATATGGCAGCAACGACAGATGAACATCCAACTAATCATCATTTTATGAATGATCATCGACATAATTCACATCCGAGCAACAGTACGAATAACAATACAATATCGAATGATTACTCTTTTGTTATTAAACCGTCTAAAATAAATCATTCTTACGCACATTCCGACGGTACACTTGATTCATGTTGTCTATGTAATCAAGACCGTGAACAATCAACAACACTAACAACCACTATAACATCACCAAAAATAAATGGACAACAAAAAAATAGTTCATGGTGTGCCTTGTTACATCATACAAATAATGAATCAACAACGAATAATCCATTAATAAGTGTAAATTCTTTAGGTAGTGATCAAGGTAGTTCGGCCGTCTCTTCATTAACAAATGGTAGTGATCCAATGCAATCATTAGATGGTGTATTACAGTCATTAACATTAGGACCTAATCACAATCATTGTCAACAACATAATCACAATATTATTGATTCTTTACTTGGTGAAGAATTATGGTATTATGGAATGATTGGACGAGAAGATACTGAAAAATTATTAAAAACATATGGAAATGATGGTGATTTTTTGATACGTGACAGTGAAAGAAGAGTAAGAATTATAAAATAATTTTATTTTTTATGTAATTTCTTCAAATGAAAAATTTTTGAAAAATATTTTTATATTCTTTCTAGACTGGCAATTATTCATTAAGTTTAAAAGCTGATAATCGTATAAGGCATTTTCGTATTGAAAATTTAGACAACCATTTTGTTATTGGTAAACGTTCATTTGTATCATTACAAGAATTAATTGAACATTACAAATCTCATCCGATTTATGATGGTGAAGGAATTAAATTGTATTTATGTAAACCATTAAATGTTGTTGTCAATCGATGAAATAAATTATTTTGTTTTTTTCTTTATATATACATACAACTGAGTGTAAACGTATAGTAGTTGATGATACATTCCCATTAAAAATGCTAGTGTTTGACCTATATGGTGCTTATATTTGCTCAAGTGGTGTAGAATGTTGACGTCGTCAAGCAGAACTGTACAAACGTGTGTTTTCCTTTCCCCTTTTTTTCTCTTAAGTAATAAAGAACTACTTCCAAATATGTATGTAGGTTAGAGGATTTTCCGCTTTAGCATAACTCTATTTTTTTTGTACAGAAAAAAAGAAAATAGACGCTCAAACATCATCGTTTTCTTCCGTGTTTGTATTCTTCGTTTTTTTGTTTTTTTTTTATTTATTCGTTTATTTTACTTTTGCACAAGAAAACCAAATTTTTCTATATATTTGTAACGTTGTTTCTTGAATAATATGAAAATTATAAAAGATAAAATAAATAAAAGAGTAACTTGATATTTCATAGCTCTAGCGAAAGATATGAAAATAATTAGCACCATTTGGCAAGAATAGATAAATATTACACAGTTTCCCAGAAGAAAAATAAACTAAATAAATGTTGTTATATTTTAATAAATGATAAACCCATGTTATTAAAAGAAAAACATATTCAAAATGAAATTGAATTCATATCACAGAAACAATCAAAGTAGTTTTATCTCTTTTGACATACTGCTCATTTTATTTGTGTTGTTTTTTTCATCGGAGTAATAAAAAAAAAAGCAGACATAAATGAATAATAAGCGAACAAAAAACTTTAACAAACATCTGACTTCTTGAAACATTTAACTGACATAATATATAGATATATATGTATATATATATATTTAATACAAATGAGAATTATATATGCCCTTTATGGATTCTTCTGTTACACTGACTGTACTGTACTTACAACACGCATTCCGTTTTTTTCCTGTGTGCATTGCATTCATAAATACTGTCAAGGTAGAAAAACAACTAAATGAACACATTCATTTTCTAAAAATCTCTCTCTCTCACATGCGTACACATACGTGTAAAATAAAAAACAAAACAAAAAAGATTTTCTTAATTTAAAAAATAAAAGCAGTAATAAGAATAAGAAATCTATTTTTAAAAACACCCTGTGATAGAAAAAGTGAAATAAAAATAAACATGCACAATAACACAATCATGGACGGTACTGTTCCGGACAGATCTGTGTAATTGAAGAAAAAAATTTTAGAGCACACGTGCATCTATAAAATATATATTTTAGGCACCGGGAATTTGCGTATCTCTTTTTTTTTTTTTGAGAGAGATTCTATTTTTTGGATTTTAAACAATGGAAAATAAAATAAAATATTGACTATACGAAGCATGTATAAGCTCAAAGAAAAGAAAACGTTTTAAATGAGATTTCTTTTTAATGTGTTAAATGCGTATATAAAAATTCTGTTCAACGACTAAATCTACTTGTAAATGCGGAATAAGTATGAAGAGATGTTATGGTAGTGTATCCATATTATTACTGACTAATTCTGTCTGTGCTAATGGAAGAAAATGTGAATTAACAAGTGATGGTTGTGACTGTATTAGATCTAAACTTTTAATTCTAGATTTTTGCCGATGAAATCGTTGAATACGAATACGATTTGCATCTGCACCTAAAATAATAAATTAAAATCTTATATTTCGAATAAAAGAGAAAAAAAATAAGCAAAGTCAACTTACCAATATAGCTTAATAAAACTGGTAAGAATATAAGCCCATGTGCTGCACCGAATAGAACAATACATATGAACATTCGAAAATAAAATACTTGAAATAATTGTGAATGAGAAAAGCCTAGTACAATAATGCCACCAATTTTTGTTAATGTAATACCACTAAATACCTAAAAATTAAGATGAAAAACATAGAATATATATAAATAGTTGTAGTAGGGAAATAAATAACTTACCGAACTACCCATATAAGCTAATGCTTGTTCGGCTCTCTTCAATCTAGATCCTTTTACCGATAAAATAAATTCTCGACATATATGAGCACAAAATTCAAGCGATATTCCAACAGACTAAAAAAGAAAATACGTAAATATAATCAATTATTATATAATCAATTATTGATTTAAACAATGTGTAACTGACCATAACAAGATTTACTAACGATATGGCATTCATTTCAATATTCCAAACGTACATCATTGCAATCATATCAATTGTAATCATAGCCTTAAAATAAAGAACAGAATAAAGAACAGAATCAAATTAAATAAAAACTAATATATATTTTAAAATTCTGAAACATACTATTGTTAATGTAATGATGAGAGCAGTGATTATATCCAAACCCAACAAGATAAATGTTACAAAAAATATGGCCGTTGTTGACAACGATAAATTCAATAATACATCACGCCAAATTGTCAAATATTGTTCGTAAAATACATAAAATATACTAGAATTTAAACAATTATCAAATGTCTGTTTTAATAAACATTTCTCTTTCTTTTTTACCTGTAGGGAAAGACTTCGACATCATAACCAGCTACACGTAAGGTTTTTGTGATGTTATCTGCCATAATATATGCTTGTTGCATTGCCTCAATAAAATCATTTGAACTAATTAATAAGCTATGATAGCCCATAATTAGACTTGCTATTTAAAAAAGAATCAATTACATCCATTGATATATTATTTATTTATCGAACATCTTAAATATGATTTTACCTTCGACGTTATTATCTGCTGTTAAGCTAACACTTTGACCATGTGCAGCATGACCACCTTTTGCACATTTTAAATTTGGATTGTCTTTTAAAAAAAATGGTAAATATTTGTTAAAATTATTTACTGATAAACCATTACGAGTAAAATTTGGTGTACATTCTTCACAATTTGATGTTGAATTATAATTAACTGAACAAAATTCTCCAGTATGCTTATTAATACGACAACATGGTGTTTCTCCACGATGTCTTAACCAATCATAGTAATCATCTAACCATGATGTACCAATTTGTGCTAAACGAGTTTTTGATGGTGATCGCGATGCTGAACTCAACTGATTTACCAGAGAATCTTCTGAACATCCAGAACTACCGCATATCAAATTACTCGCATTATAATCACCATAATTGATACCTAAATTAATGTAGAAAAATTATGTCTCTTTATCATCTAGCAACATTTTAAATATACCGTTTTTAATTACAAAATAAACAGGTGGTCCAACAGCAAAATATTGTTTAAGTGCTAAAAAATAATCAATCATGTATGAATCGGTTGCCATTGTAATGTTTTGTTCGAGTCCAATTTTAACATGTGGTAATAATCCAATACTTAAACAAAGCCAACTTGTAAATAAAAATAAAACAATTGGTCTTACAAATTTATTCATCATAAATGGAGCATAGTGAATTTGAAATATACGAAATAAAAATCCATCCATTTTTAGTAAATGTTCTTCAACTGATTCATCACTACCATAAATTTCTTTTTTCTCTGTTTTTAGTGGTTGCTCATCTGTTGAGTCGACGAGATGTCCATTTTCAGTTGCTGCAACTTCATGCCTATCACTGTTGTTATTATTATTGTTATTATTATTATCATTATCATTCTTTTGATCATGTATTTGCTCACATTCAACAGTTTTATGATGACCACCACAATTTAAACAAGATAATACAGTTGATGATTTTGTTTCAGTTTTTCTATTTCTATTTCGATTAGTACTACTTTTAAGTTTATAACAACATAAAACATCAGCACGTCGTGCACGTGTACGTTTATGATCTAGTGTAATGAACGAAACAAATATGGTAATTTGCAATAAAAAATCAATTAATACTGATACAGCTGCGTATAATGAAAATAAACGAACAGCTGGCATTGGTGTTAATGCTCCAAGAAAAAATGCAATAGATTCTGATAAGGATGTGAGTAACATAGCTGGACCAACACGACCAACAATACGACCAATTTGGCATTCAACATATTCACCAGGTAAACGTCGATCACGTTGAATAGAATGAGTTAAAATAAATATGTTGTCTAAACAAAAAAAAATAAACTTAATCGAACGTCTTATTCATCCAACATTACTTACCAACTCCAACAGCCAAAACCAGAAATGGCACAACTTCGAAGATGATCAATGTTGTCGGTATTTTCATATACGAAAATAATCCTACACTAGCACAAACGGATACTGCCACAAGTGCTACACCAGCAATACCCAATGATATTTTCATGTCAACTACTAGACCTCTCCAACTTCTTATTCGTCCTAAGGCCAGTGTGATGTAGAGAAACATGATCATATAACTAATAACAACCGTTTTAATGTCCGATCGTGATTCTCGTTCAATTTCGTCTTCGATTGATCGTTCAGCTCGATATTTAACATCAAACCAGTCAGATTTATATGTTGACATGAACTCTAAAAATTTTTTTTCCCATAATAAAACATTTTTCAGTTTTTGATCACCATGAGGATGATTGTTAATCGTTATCGTTATTATCAATGCTTGTCCTCCTGTATAATCAGGTACACCATCTTTAGTTGGAAATGCTCCCAATACCATATACGGATCAACATTACCACCAAATTTAGCCATACAACTTTGTTTAAATGTTTTTGTTTCTAATGTAATAGGTGCTTGAATACATTCAAGATATTGAGACGCATATACTGAATCATTTAAAAATTCTAAATTATTTTGATGATATTGAAATAATGAAAATATTGCACAATGGTTATTGTCTGGTTCCAATGGTTTATAACATATATCATTCAAATAAATTGTTTTTCCGCCTTCTGCTCCAGCAGTTAATTGTTCAATTTCTAATTGTAATTTTAATGCATCATAAAGAAAATTTTTTTCGAATGCCGGTCCAAACGTATGCTGTTCTACTGCTCCTAACGGAGTCTTATAGTCTAGTTTCACGGTAGTACCATTTTTCGGAACCAATATTAAATGAGCAATACGATAAAATGGTCTAAAAGAATGAAACTAATTAACTGTTCTGGAGCAGTTCAAAAAACCGAAACGTTACTGAGATATTGAACTTTTACTAAAAGTTCCTAAACCTAAACATCGCTATCCTGGAAAATAGACAATTTTAAATGCTCGTAACTGAGTAACAATAGTTGTGACTTGGACTTGAAAATTTTACTATAACTATGACCTGCTGTGTACTACAAAATGACAACCCCGAACTCTGGAATTGCTTCCTTTCAAATAAAGTAGATATTGCGCTGAGAGCCCTAAATCCGAATTTTACCAACCTGTTCTAACAAACTGGAACTTGAAACTTTCAGTCGTATTTCCAGATAGAGTATGTGCGAAATTATCTCTGGAAAAAGTTTGAAGTTCACAAGTGGTATTACTTGTTCCTAAGTACTTTAAAAGCTGACATTTTTGGAGACGATTTGCTACCAGAACACGAGATGCATTTTGTGCCACAGGTGTGCTGCTCTAGTCTACTACTTATGATCCAAGGTCCCATGATGGGATTCTTGAACTCTCCTAAAAGAAACTCGAGGCCTCGGTCGATGGAGAGAGGTTTTCTTATTGGTTAAAACTATGAGATCAGAAACTCACTTAAAATTTTGATCAAAATAGTCTTTTTCTTGTCGAGCACGACTGTTCTTTGCTACCCATAAATCAACGGGATCTGTTGTCACTGTATAATAACGACAACCAAAACAGAGCACAAACAAAATAACACATACAGGAATAATCACCATTCTTGGATTATAAGCACTGAATCTACCAATACTAAAAATATCACCAGACGTAAACAATTGCAAAAAGAATGATAAAGAAACATACGCTTCAAATACGTTATGTAATACATCATCAATTTGAATTCCAATACGATCTAATAAACGTATATGCTCTGGTTCATATGAATATTCTGATACTATATCTTTACTAAGCGAAATCCTAACACGATCATTTGTTTGTTTGTCATGAGTATCGTCAGTAGCCACTACAACTGGTTGAAAATCTACAATAAACAAAGCAAAAACGAGATTCACAAGCTTTTAACCAAAATGATCTCTTTCATCAATAGCAAGATGCGCTTTTCATTTCATTACCTTTTTTGTCTGTTCGATAACGACAAATCAATATAAATACATGAACCACAATAAATATAAAAACAAATAATATGTACATAACAATAGCACCTAACGTGACACGATGTATTCGACCACCAAATATTTCCACTTTTCCCGTATCTTTTATAGTTGTGTTACTGTCTGACAGTACAAGCGGACACATGGCAGTACAATCCTAAGAAAAATAACTTAAAGTTTAGAATATTTAAAGAGTTATGAAATGAAACTAAGCTTTCAACAAAAAACTAATGGAAAAAAGCTGCAGTTGTATGTAGAACTTATTCTAAACACAAACTGCACGTTAGAACAGGACAATTACAAAAACAGAACAAGTCAGCTATGTCGAGTTCACACAATAAAAAGAAAAACTTTCACCGGTAGTCTCTTTTCCTAATATGCTTACCGAACAAGTACATTTATGTCCTTGAGCATGTGGCAATATCACAGGTTGATCACAACGAAACATTTTCTCTGTTGATGGTGTGAATGTTTTTCCTAATTGTTGATCATAATATGTTAAATTGTTAACAAATACAAAATCAATTCTTATTTTAGCGTGTTCATTTTTCAGACCAATATATTCAAATAATGTTTTAACATTACATGCTCGATTCATAGCACCACATAAAATATCGATGGCATATTGAAAATTAATACGAACACTCCTACAAGAATGAAGAAAGTGGGCATATGTTGTCTGAAACATAATTTTTAACTTACCAACATGAATTAATGAAATCGTTTGCTTGTGTTTCCGATATAAAATATCTTATTTTACTCACAATTTCCACCATTTCAACTGGTTTTTGTGAGTCAGCGACTAGTGATGATTTTGATGGTAATTGTTGATTATTATCTTCTTCTTCTTCATCTTTATAATCTTCTTCACCCTCAAATTTAGGTTGAAGCTCTTCACCATTATCTACTGTATCAACTGAATGTACATGTTGTTCATACTTTGTTACATTTAATAAATTTAACGGATAAATAAAATCGCTTTGATTTGGATCACATGACATTTCACAAAATATTCTCAGAAAATTATAATAACACGATGGACAACGACCAATTAAATTATCAACTATATATTTGAATTTTCCTATTGCTTGTAACTGTTTTATATCACAACATAATTTTGTATTTTTATCTAATTTAAAGCAGGAACGCAAATCAGGTAGGATAGAAAGAGAGAAAGAAAGGAAGACCTACTTGTATCGATGTGTGGACACATTTCATGAAGTAAGTGAAGATGTTCATCAGATGTTACTGCTTTTGCTTCACCATCGGGCGATACTATATTATAACCATCACGAACCCCTTCATACCATATACATTTTGAACTAACAACACTAATATATACCTAGAACAACAACAGCAACAAGATTTATGAAAAAATGGCAATCAAATACACACAAAATTTATATACTTACAAAAAGTCCAAATGAAAGATGTTGAAGGATTGACAGTAGCATATTTGAGGTTAATATAACTAGAAACAAAACGAAAAATATGTGTACACTCTCATAGGTTTGTATACCAGTACTGTACACAGAATACAAGTGACCACTTTTTTTACAAAATACAGAGCATAAAAATCAGCTGTCTTGTCCATCTTTAGTCCACGAAAAGTCGCCGCATGCGTCCAACACTAAGAAACAGTAACAACCAGAGGCTATCACAAACAAAAACCATGGAACAAGAACATACTTTTTATGATGTCCAAAAATTAGTATTTTTCTTGGGAACTACTCTTCCCCATCGGTGTGTCTGAACTGCTCTTTTTAATAGTAGTGAGAGATATATCATCTTTACCGATAAGATAAAATCACGTTCATAAGTATAATCTGAAAGCGTTTACATAATAAAACCGTTCCTTCTGTCGTTCAGAACTGTCGAATTCGAAAATTAAGATTCATATTTCGGGTGGCACCGATGAAATGAGGTCTTTCCATAGGCATCTGTGAGTAGTTTGTGTAAAAAATGTATGCATAGAAAACCTTTTTTTTGTGTTTTTTGTTCACCAGTTCGAGTTTCTGGTAAATTACCTCAAGTCTGGTCAATGCAATGTATCCAGCTCCATTTAGACAAGAATTTTGTTTTTCAGAGAACGCAAGAAAACAAAAATTTCCTGCTAGGAAAAATCGAGGATTTTTAATTGTGGTGGGGAGGAGAGGGGGAGGCGCACCTCCCTTCCCAGTAACGTCAGCCCTGAAAAAGATGTCTCTAAGACAATGACTTTGTGCTAAACGATAGTCAACAAACAGGATGAGAAAGAACACACTTGAAAGTATACAAAAAAGTATTTTGATCCTATTTGATGCTGGAACAATTAAAGAAAAAAATCTCATGTACTCACTCGAACAAGTTTAAGAAATGTGCCACTTAGGAGCTCTTTAAAAAAATTTTGTTACATTTTTTACACAAACTTTTCACAGATTTATGTAGAGAATTAAATGCCGAATCTTTCGAAAAGAAAATTAACTCCAGCAAGTCGAAGGGAGTCGAAAAGAATGACAAATACTGGACGCTTGATTTCTTCTACACCACCCGTTACTCATACAATAGAGCAATTGCATGGTGTTAAATCAGATTGGTATAATGTGCAAGAAAAAAACGAGTACATTAACTTGGTGAATTGAACTATAATAGAATTGTATGAACCTGTCTATAAAATTCTTTTAACAAACAACCATGTTGACGCGCTATGTAACACCTGCTGTTGTCAAAGCAATATGGTTGTCGAGGATAGTTAGAGTAACCAAAACAAATCTATAACCTACTTTTGACAAATTAAGGACTGTGGTGTAAACGCCCAATACACACACACTCACATATATACGGCGATGATTGATAATATGTGATGGACGGTATTAATTAAATTTGTTTTCGTTTAAATCAAAAATGTAAAACGCATAGGAAAGAAAACATTGATTACTGACAAATTGTCATTGACGATTTCAGAAAGACTGAAAGGTGAAGACGTAATATACAGTTTCATAGACAGAACACAAAATTTAAGAATTGTTGGTATGAAAAATATTTTAGAGATAAAAAGAAAAACGCCTCCCCCCTTTTTCAACGCGTGATGCTTTGGAAAAGAGGTGCGAGGAGAGAGAAATTCAATATTCTCTATATGGTTTAAAATAGACAATAAAGATCCGAACAAATTTGTGTGTCATGAGGAGTAAATAATAATTTATATTCAGTGTTTCTGTATTTTTTTTTCTTTCTTTCTTTATACGTATGTTAAGAATGTTTAGTGGTCTCATCATCAGCTGTATTGTATGTTCCGTTTTATGACAAACCAATCAAATACAATCATTTTGATCGTACGATACTCGCACTAAAGACTATATTTTGTTGTGTTCTGTTCTCTTTCTCTGCTAACTGGTGCCAAGAACACGGCGGAAACATGTAAGCGTATGGCGGTATGTCACATTCACGAAAAAACTATAGAACAAAGGAAGGAAGGAAGGAAAGAATGAATATGTCATATTTCGTCCATTTGCGTGACATTTTGCTCTGCCAACATAAAATAATGTCTTATTCATTCTATCTACTATTAGTCTTAATAGTTTCATTAAAAAGGTGCACTGAACAACAAACACATCACCAACATTTGCACAAGCAATAACTCTGATGGTTGACATATATGAGCTATGGTGCCATAGCCATTCCATAAAAGAATCAGTCCTATCTAACATGATCTGCATAGTTTTCTTCTGAATTATACATTAAGGAAAGACGTATTTAGGATCTGCATTAAGGAGGCAACGCGATGTATCAAAAAAAATTCTATATGAGCTTAAATTGCATTCAAATACAAAGTGTTTGAAACAAATTTTAGCTTGAAAACTTTTGGTTGTAGCGACAAAAGACCGTTTTAGTGTTTTCAGCGAAGATAAGATTTGAGTACAGCGGTTTCTGTTTAATCGCTGAATTTTTATATGATAAGAATATCGTATTGAAAGTTAACGCTGGGGCGGCGGAACCATATCGACCATGAGTGAAAATTTTGAAAATTTTCGTTTTCTTCCAGCACAAACTTATTTTTCCTTTGCGTTCTTGTTCTTGAGCACCCATAGTTTCAAAATCATTTCGCCGCCTCTGAGTTAAAAAATGGAAGCGAAGTGAACGGTATAACTTTTTTCATCTACCTCTTATATTTACGGCGAAAACTGGACTGAATAATCGTAATGCACTATAATCAACGAAGTTCACTTTTAACCGGGATTATCCTGGATACAGAAGAAAGCTGAAATACATCGTATCAAAACTCATTCCCAATTTCGTATGAGTCAGTTGATAAATCTGTTAGTAGCTACTCTTATGTCAAAAGAAAAGTGAAAATAGAATATTGGACTTAGTATCTTTCTTAGTATCATTAATATCTTTTAGTTTTGATCTATTATAGAAAAATAAAGACTGATTGTAAGGATAAAGTTCTTTCCACTAAACTTATTGTTAATTTATTTATTATTACAATGTGTTATACTTGTTGGTTCATTTTCACCTCTCAATTCCGTTGCTTCATGACCATGATATATTGTGATTGTATGTGATTGAGCTACATCATTTTTATCATACTATATTGTGTTACATTTTTAATTATTATTAATTAATCTATTTAACGAGAAAATCGGTTAAAACTGTAAAATCAGCTGTTTCAAGTTTTTATGTCACACATTTACACACAATTTTATCTGATAAAAGTTCATCAACAACTTTTTTGATAAATCATGGTTTATCAAAATTAATCACGTCGTGCAATTAGTGTTAATGTATTGCTCGTTATGAAAATGTGATAAAAGGTTCAGCGTTGTTGGATCAATAGACGTTTGATCTTGTGTTTCATAATCAACAGATCTTTGTATAGCATCATGTTTGATGGCAGTTAATTATATATAACAACTTTAGTTTACAATCTACCATATTACTCATTAGATATTTGTGTATGTGTGAAACAAAATTACAGCCGAGATTCATTTGAACTTTCAGTTCGAATTTCTCAATATTGATTCGTGTGGCTGTTTTAAAGGAAGAATGAGTGAATTTATGTCCCACTTAGTTCTTTGTGGTCACTCCATTAAAAACTTTACACACAAAAAATTGCATGAATTTACAAGCAGAAGAGATAAGGTATGCGAGTCATACGACAGAAAAAAAATACAACAAGCAAAACCAAAAAACTAGATTATTAATCTTTATGCCGTTGTTCAAGCTACAGCAGAATGATTTGATTCAGAATCTTTGACCTTACGATATTTAACAAGGAACTGCTCGAATCAAAACAGTTTTTGCATACATGAAGATACCTATATCCATTACGTAAGCACCGTTGCATAAGCTACATGTTTGTTTCTTTTGATATCACACGGATTTGCAACCACAATATGAAATTGTATTAGCATCTGAATTTTCATTAAAATTACGCGATTTTGTTAAAGATAGAGGACAAAAGACTGTTGCATGAAATTCGTCGCAAATTACTGATTACACGAACAAGCACAGGTGTCAATGAAGGTACGTGAGGTGACATTGAGGTTTTACCTTGACTAATCAGATCATGAATTCCTTTATACTAATAAGCGAGTTGATTTAGCGATAAAATAATGTCAAAGACGACATAAAATATATTGATCAGTTAAGTAAATACTAATATAAATTTAGTAATTGTGTGTGTACAAGATACACTAAACAAATGTGTCATAAAGTGCACGGCAACATACTATGACATTAGGCGCTAGTTGGGACATAAATTTTTTAGATGTGCAAAATTTATTACAAATGTTGCTGACTCAAACTTCGTTACTAGATGCAACAATTTCCTTTAACATCTAAAATTGTGATATCAAGATAGTATTATTCAATACTATCTGAGATTGTTTCAAAATATATCTGATGTATGATAAACGAAATGATTGGGCTAAGCTGAAATTTGAAAATTTTATAGAAATCGAAAAAACTTACTTGAATCTGATTCACATGATTACACTCTTTAAAGAAAATCATCATTAACTGTTGTATGTCAAATAAGTCTACAATTAGCTATTATCCTAGCGAGAAAATCATCGTCACTGTCTGAAGGTGTTATTCTAACGGAAACAATGACTGTTAAAACTCTAGAGATGTTGATTCTTATTTCAAAGTTATTGTAAAAAATCGTTACACACAATTATGTTCGAAGCGAAAAAAGTTCTGATGAAAACCGACGTTCATTACTTTCTACTCATTTTTATACGTTATCGATAAGACATAAATATTAGTGTCAGTGGTCGTGCGAAAAAATCATTATCCAATGCGGCCATTCCTAGTAGTTTAGTCATTGACCAACATTATTTTCTTCTTATATCACAAAATATTATATAATTGTATGAAGTATTTTATTGGTACTACCATTAGTTAACATTTTATTAGTAGTCATCATAGAACTTGATTTTTTATTTCCGACTAGATGCTACAGAACACCAGTAGATACCAGACGATGAAATTAATGGTATCTGACGGTGTACGTAGTGAAATAAAACCCCAACGTTCATTATTCTCTACTCAATGTTCTAAACATTTTTGACAGATATGTGCACAACGAAAAATTTCCTAACGACAACAGAATTCGTAGCATCACATTAAATACTATTTATTTTTCAAACAAATCTACGAGAAAAAAATAAGAAAACAAATATGTTTATTATCCAATTTATACGATTGTAACTTACAATCATTGTAAAAGCGTAATCAAACAACGTATCTATATCGGTCTTTTTTCTCTTTTCTTTTCTCTTCGTGTCTTTTTTTCTCCTTGAATGTTAGAAAGTAAAAACAACAGATACTATTATCTAATTTTCTTAGCTAAAAGTTTCAAAATTCTCATTTATTGGAAAGGTGTATACTCTCACACAGTCCTCCACTTTCGCGATCGCTGATTAATGTGAATAACGCCAACACGAATCCTTTCTGATATAGAGTTAGAGCAGTGAAGCGTTTCATTAGATCATTTTGAAAATTATTATCATTATTAATACCAATATCATGATTGTACATGTTATCATTTTGCATGTGTTTATGAAAATAAAAATTTATAAAGAAAATACGAAGCAAAATCAAAGTTAATTTTTAATGCGTGGTCGCAAAATGAAAAAGAAAAACGATAAAATTTCATTTTTTTAAGAATTATAAAAATAATACCATTAGTACGAATTTTTTTCTCTACACATATATGATACTATCTTATTAAACTTTTTTCAGACAATACAATGCATTCTCTGAAATATCAAATTCATATTGACAATTTCCATTGTGAAAATTAAGAACTGACATTTTAATGTCATTGCTACAATCGTCAAGTACTTTTCCTTGATTGACTTAAACTGCAAGAGACACGTGATAGTCACAATACCGTAGAATTATTTACTTTTTCTTCATCATGATATGATTTTTTAATCATTCACCTTGGTCAAAAATTTCATGGTTGTTTTTTTGTTTTTTTTTACACAAATTAACTATATAATTAGAAGTGTTTGTGTCTGTCTACATTATAAATATATGAAAAATGGTAATTACGTCTTCAGAAATAAATGCCGCTATTTTTTATCATTGATGTATATGATACACGAGCTCAGACGGTAATTCAATGATCATCATTAGACGTATTTTTTGAATTTTACATTTTATTAAAGACATTGTTGTCTATTTCTCTTGTTTGAAGAAAATGATATGAACGAGGTTCGATCATCTGAACTTCTACTTCTAATTCAATGATTTAAACTATTATACTACACCAGTCACGCGATTATTCTAGAAATTTTAGCTCTCTTTACCTTTTCAGAAGTCTACTAGATTATTAGTAGAACATTGAAAACATTTTAACACCGACGACTAGACAATGAATTATGTCTGTCGTGTTTGAGAATCGTGTTGACTTTTTAGAAAAGAAAAAAAAAAAAAAATGAGAAGCAATAATTTTAAAAAAATAGAAAATGAATCTCTATCTGTAACTATTGTTTTGTTTCTTTTGTTGACTTACAATGTACGTATGGTATTTAAAAAAAATGAATAAAGAAGACAAAAGGAAAAAGAATTGATGTTTTTTTTTCTCTCTCGAGAAACGAAAATGTTCTGAATACCATTGGTTCATATGGTAAATGTGACTTTTGATTATTATTCTAAACAACTGTCGTTTGACTACAGACAATGTATAAATCATTCAAACAATAACAAAGATGTTTTCTAAAAATAAAATTAATTAATGTAATTTATAGATCTTTTATTTAAATGAAAAAGAAAAATTTTATTCTTTTTTTATTGATATATCAATAACATCTTGCCCTTCTGTCACATCTCTATAAAGAACATTAAATATTTGATTAAAAAATTGAGGATAATATTTGCATGCTCGTTGACAATCGGGTACAAAATTAATTTCTAATAATTTTGGTTGTATTAAATTTGTTTTATCATCATATTCTAACATAATATCTGTTGCATAAAGTGCTCGTGAGTTTATACATGATCCAATACCTAGAGGTGGTTGTTCATCCGATGCACATTCAAATATTTGTCGTAACATTTCAAATATACGTTGTTCAATTAATAACCATTTTTCATTTATATATTGTTGTTCAAATAATTCAATAAATTCATAACAATTCATTTGTCTTAATGTTGATTCAGGACGATAATTCATTACTGTAAAATGTTTTTCATAATCATCACAAAATGATAAATCATACGGTTTATTAGCAAAACGTAACCAAAATATTTTGTGTACAAATAATTTTAATGGTCTTAATTGACGAACAAGTAAAACATAGCGTATATCAAATTTTAACAGCACCATTTAATTCATCTATTTTAAGTAAAATAGGTCTATGAATATATTTGCATACAATTTTTGGACCACTCTCTGGTAAACGTAAAATCATATCTAATATATTTGTAATTGACATATCAATACTACGAGTTAAATTTGTTGGTTTAATTATCCAATGATTATCCAATTGATTATCTTCACGATATTGATAATAAACGGCAAATTGTGGTAATTCATGTATAAGATTAAATGTTATTGGTAACCACGGTGGACATGTATGAACGTCTACAAATGGATCAAGTTTGCTATTAGTATCATCTTCATCTTCATTAGATGAACTATAATAAAAATAAATATAAATTAAAATTGAAACATGAAGAAGAAGAAGAAAAAAATAACAATAAAGTAATTTAAAAATTGTCTTATTTACAAAAATCATATAAATTTTAGAAAATAGTGTCAAAAATTTGGAAAATATTTTTCTAAAATCTTTTTATTTCTTAAATCTTTTGTTGAGAGTTTTTAAAAGTATGCTTCTTATTTAAAAGAGAGCGAAGAATATACTACTAATTACTTAAAATCATTTAGACAAGAATCTTCTTCTTTTTTTCATTTTTTTGTTTTTGTTTTTGTGAAATGAGATATCCAATCTCTACTGAAAAGTTAGACATTCATCTAAACTGTGTATACTTGTTCACTTATCTTTAAAAATAAACATCAAAGAACTGAAAATCTATTACGTACATTTTTCTTTTTTGTATATGTTTCCATCTTCTAGCTACTAATGACAACAATTCTTTATTTGTCACAATATTTTCATATGGAAATTGATTAAACATCATTTGTGGATAATTTTCCATATAATGTCGATAATTTTCAATATGTTTCATTGTAAATAAGATATTACATTCGTCAATATTATCGACAAATTGATAATGACTATCATTTAAAAATTGTTTTACAAGTTCATTATCGGTATATACTTTAAATAATTGATTATCCGTATTTGATGATATTACTGAAGTTGTTTCAATATAATCATCATTTTTATGACATTTAAGAAATAAATCTTTATTATATTCAAGTTTAGTATTAAAAAGACTTTTATCAAATTTTAATAAATTTCTTAAATATTTTTTTCGATATGAAATACGATTCCATGTTAATAATTTAACATTTTTAAGAATAACATCTGTTTGATTTGTATATAAATAATTTCGAAAACATTCCGTATAAGGTGGTATAATTTCTATTGGCCATATAACAGAATACATTGTTTGTGATGGTTGAAAATAGAATGATACACAATTAAGATTTACATTTGTATCTGAATGTCGAATCATTGAACCAACTTCATCCATAATATACCAATATGGTTCATAGACTTCTTCACAATCATTTAATGGATCAATTTGATCTGTTGCCAATGTATAAGTTTGATTATATTTCCACATTCGTTGTAAAATCATTTCAATACCATTTTCTAGATCATGATTTGTTTCATTAATATTCATTAATGATAACATTCTTTCATATAATTTTGGAATTGTTAATAAATGTTTTCGAGCATCACGAATTCTATATGTCCATGCATGATCAATTAAAAATATCATTTCAACATTTGACGGTTTAATTTCATGTTCAATGGTACTCATATAATATTTTCGTTCAGGATTAAAATTCTCTTCACATAAATCATCATCATCAACTGGACATATTTGAAAATATTTTCCACAATCAAATATTTCATTTTTCATTTTAAAATATAATTGACAATAAAGATATTTCGGTATTCCACAAAATAATAATTGAAATTCATGACTTTTCAAAAATTCTTCATAATCTTTTTCATCAATTTGTTCCATTACGTTTAAATCTATAATTAACGTATAACAACAAATATCTTATTGATAAACAATGTTTAGATCGATAATACTATTTATTGTATATGTCCTTGTGTTCGACATTGATGATTAAAAAAATATATAATTACTTTGAAGACTTTTCGATTTTATTTTTGTTTTTAACAAATCGATTACTTAAAAAAAGGAATGGAATTGCAGTTGCGGAGATATTTCTAGTTTAATGTCCCTTTAATTATGTTATGTTTAGCGTACTTAATTTTTGATGATTAATAGAGCGTAACAAAAATATAAGCCTTTTCACCACTTAACTACATTCTCGTCAAAATAACAACGACCTTGCTTAAACATCTAAACAATATTTTCACAAATTCAGGGTGTACTAAGTTGAAAATATCTAAGAGAGACAGATACCACTATTTGCTACTTTAACTTGTTAAAAGTTTATTCGTATATATCCACAATTTTAGATCTTCAACTAAATTCTAATTCGAGATGATTAATTTTTTTTTTGTAATTTTACTTCGGATTCTTATTTCCTTCTTATTCAGCTTACGCACTGCTTTTTTCAGAAAATAAAGCAAATCTTTTTCAGAAATAAGTTCAAGAACTAGGACGCTATTCGGACTTGAACTACTAATATTTCAAAATAACTCAACTCTCCTTTATAAGAGAAAAATGATCTTCATGAAATAAGCAACAATAATTTGTTTGTTGTGATGGAAAAAGTTGAAATGAACCAAAAACGAGACGCATCAGATTCCATTTCATTTATTTTAACATGATGGAACAACAATAATCTCTGACCATTTTTTGAATAACTTTTGATTGGTGAAAGCTAGAGAGCTGGGGTTTTCCGATATGCAAATAAGAGATTATGGAGCATCTTTTTACAGACGGAAACGTTCTTTTTAGAGATTTTTTCAAAAACAAGTTTTTCAAGAACTTTCTGGAAAACTCGTGCATAGTGAAAAAAGTTAAAATACCAAACTGTTGACTTTTTTACATCGATAGATAGAAGAAAGTGTCTTCTTCAAAAAAGGAGGTCTAAGCGACCTGTTAGCCTTTCATGGTTGAGATGACGCATCGGATTTCCTGGGAGCTCCAGAATCAATATGTCTTTAGATGTGGTAATAGCGAACATGAATGAAAGCATAGATTATCACTCACACTGGGTCTCATGGTAGCATTTATTTTCCGAAAAAAGTTCAAAAACTTAGTGAAAACCTATATTATATGAAAAAAACAGTTTTATCTATTTTCACATAAAAATAGAAAATTCATAACTCAGTCAAAACCAATCTAGACTACCTCAGAATATCAAGATGTACTCTATTTTATCTACTCAATATGATTCTGTAGTTAAAAGTAGTAAATATTTTCTTATTTCGGAAGATTTCTAGAAAACCTTTCCAGGAACCCAAGTATTTTATATTGGTTTCTCTCTGTTTTATATGCGCTGGATCATAGAGTTCAGTAGAACTTTTAAAAACGAATATAAAATACTTGGGTTCCTGGAACGGTTTTCTAGAAATG